AATCATTGTCGCCAGTAATCGTTGTTTCAAGGTACTTACTTTTTCCATATTACGTTGCTTCTTCACTGTCTGTTACCGCACATGTATTTGGTTTTACCTGCATCCCACTTTTTGGACTCTGAAAACCACAGGATATGTTTCAGGTGTTACGTTAGTGAAACTAAGTATCAAGTCGTACTCTGACTGTACTGCCTTTGACGCAGATTTTGATTACTTTGCTGAGCTTCCATGGAACCAAGAGTTGAACTAACACATCTACACGGTCACAGTCACATCTACAGTACTTGGCTCATGTGTTTCAGTTGCTATGGGATTCCTTTATACCTCTGTCTGAATCCTTTCGAATATTTCCAACAAATCTGTCGTACATCCAGGCTTATGTAAAGGCATGAAAATAAACAAAGAGTGTATGATAAATGGATCGCCTCATTACTCACTAAACTGCTACCCCATTGAAAATCGCAGCTGTTTTCATCTCTATTTACAAAGAAGTTTAATGATGTTCCTGCGGAGCCGCACTCGCAGGACCATTATTTTAATTGGTCGCATTTCGGCGTAACGTTCCGATGCTCGCATCTAAAAACTTGGAGCGGCTTTTTGTCTTTAACGAGTCCGAATGTCCTTGGCATTACTGTTTCAAAGAATTATTATATCTTATTTCAAAGGCAGTCTGCAACTGCTGGAAATAGATGGTGATGTTCCTGAACCGTTTGTTAGACTTGCTTTTGCTTTTCGTTTTAACCCGTTATTTTGACCAATTGGAGTCGGTAGAGTTGGACAGTATTCAAGATAATTGTAGTCAAAATTGCCTTTTCACATGCTGTTCAGCTGTCGGTACTTTTTATGACATACTTGGCTGACGCGTACGGACGTTCTATGGTTGTCATTTGAGAGCTCTTATTGTTCATGTAACAGCTGAAATTTATTATGTGGTTTTTATGCCGATAATCCGCAATGCTTGCCTGGCCAACCCACACGTGTTCAGAGATCTTCTTTATTGTATACGTTCCGATCTAAACGGTGGCCTTCTTCAGTAGAGTTGACACCTTTTTGACAGTATATTTTTCCATGGTAATTTTTTCCTTTTGTATAGTGATACCGACTCGCTATTCCTAGCGTAGATATTCCCTACACACCACATGACAACTGATGGTTTTTCAGCTTCTTACTTCTCATGGTAGTAGGAGGGATGTAGTAACAAAAGTTTTCGTTTATCTGACACAGGGCATGATCAAAGACGGGCTTCCATCCTGTTATTTTGATAAAATGTAAAGTAGCACAAAAGTATATTCTAAAAGCATGGCATATTCTTTGTAATAGTTATTCATTTTCATGGAATTACCAAAGAAAACTAGGTGTCAAAGCCGGAACCCAGCAAAAACTGTCAATCATCAGTTCTAAATTGTACGTACTTAGGCAAAGGTATGCTCCCCTTTTTCTGCTTCCTGATGTCTTTTCATCCTACCCTTTTAGCATGAAATGCATCAATAGCTCCAGTCATCCTAGGAGGACCCTTTTTCAACTTATTTGTTTTTTCTCATTATTCCTTTTGACCTTGAAACTGTATTTTAAGGAAATAGTGGATAGTAGATTTGGGTAACTTAGAAGGATTCGGTTTGCGCGACTAAAACAAAAAACTTGTAGCCCAATAAAATTAAAATCAAACATCTAAATAACCAATTTCATTATATGCGAATCTGGCATCTGGCAACTAAAGGGGCTAATATAGATATGAAGGCTTATTTATATCACTAAGCTATTTAGATTTGGCGATAATTTAGCTTCAAAGAATGCAAATCCAATGAGATTAGGGTAAAGATCAGGTTTACAGCACTGGTATCTATTACCTGTACTTTGACGAACAAAAAGTGTCCTAACGCCCATCCGGTTTCGATGGATGGCCGAGTTCTGCCAAAGAGCCTTTCCTTTCGGCTGGTCGGAGTCCGAGGACCTGATCTGGCATGAACACATCTCGTCAATAGCAGCAGCTGCTGGGAAAAAGCTAAGCTATTTGTTTAGGGCTAAGAAGTACTTTTCTCCGCATGACCTTCTCACTCTGTACAAGGCCCAGATAAGGCCTAGCCTCGAGTGTTGCTCACACGTTTGGGGTGCTGCCGCCCCGACTACATTGTCCATGGTCGATGCTGTCCAGAGGATCGATGACTCTCCTCTAACATACAATCTCGGGACCGATACGACCGTTCCTTTCTCCCGAGGGTGTCGAGATTGTGGAACAATCTACAAGTTTTTCCCAGTTCAACGAACCTTAGACAGTTCAAAAATCGTATTAACAAAAGTTCTTTGGGATCATCATAGTAGCCGCGGTGTTCCGGCATTTAGGCTTCTGCCTACGCGACTGCTTCGACATAAAAAAAACAAACTCATCATTTGGATCAAACCTTCTTGAAAATATCATTAACTAAAAACTATTTGAACAGATAAAACAAAACGAACGAATAGGACATAACTAATTTCATTTTTTTGTGTCACTTTATTCAAGATCGTCGACCTCAAAGTAACACATCGGTTTGGATCTTAAACCACCGCAGCGTCTTGAAAAAGCCTGCGCCTTAAAAAAAACGGTTGGAGTAATACTTGCAATGTACCTTGAAAAAAAACTGCACCCCAAAAAACAATCAAAGTGATGTTTTGTTTACGTAGGGATACGTGATGAATTTGATTTTTTGGTTTCCAATTATTTTCACACTGAAAGTTGGAGTTGAAGTGTTTTCCGCGACTACTTCCGAGAAATTGAGCCATATAATTCCGGAGGATGGAGTTTCTGCTGACTGCTGGAAACATTGTCTGGAGACAAATACAAAAGTTGATTGGAATATCTGTGTCTGCAGGCTAGACTGATCATTTTTCAGCAACGTAAGACTGTTCATTTTTATAACACTGGATTGCAGTTCTGTAAATTGGTACGAGGTTAAGCCGAAACGTATTATGCTTTGGAAAGTATAGATAACGGCTACAAGCAAATAGTGAGACGTAGCTCCTTAAGTGGTGCTACTTAGCTAGACGAAAACATATACAGGTATAGCACTGTTGTCTTGGAAGGTGTCTGTCATATGAGTCATAAAAATCGACTCTTGTGCTCTTGTTTCAAAAACGTTCAGCTCTTGACAGGATGATTCACAGACATGTAACCTTGAAAATTTTATCAATTCAAAATTGCGCATGTTAACCGAGGATTCAGACTTTTAAATTTTTTTTCATGGGATACAGCTTAAATGTTCTAATGGGTTTTGACATGTAACGTGTCTCCATATTCGTCTTGGCAGACCGAGTGGGACTGTATATTAATAATTCGTAAAATCAAAATGACGGACATTAAACCTCAACCATGAAATTTCTATTTCAGACCAAACGGCTTGATGGGTTTTGACATTTAACGTGTCCTTTGATTCGTCTTCATAGCACAATCAAAACTTCATTATTTTTAGATATTGGAGCTTTTCTTATTTTAAAAAAATGTAATTATTTATCATAAAGCCATACTCACGATGTTGCGCGGATATGAATGACGAATATCAGCTCTTAGTCTACAAGGGGTCGTTCAATTTATCAACAGAACTACTCCAACATGTTGATATAAAAACTGAACCTATTACACACGGTGTATGGAGGATGAAAACAGTAATCAACGGTCCTGGGGAGATGACCAAAGTTTTCTACTTAGTCACCTACAGACCCAGTATAACCGCCCGGTTCAGAATTTGTAATGGGTCGCTATTACAGAGGCCATTACATGGCTCACGAAAATTGATGTCGCAGTGGTACAGACGATTCGGGAAACTGATAATAGTATACAGAGGGATTCAGAGTCACCGTCAGAAAGGTCAGCGTACTTACAAAATAACGCTAAATGTGGAGGCAATGTTGAATGTCAATCATTAGAAATTGTTCTTAGCGAATATATTGAAGTTTCGTTAAATGAAATTTTACCTCTATGTACAAACTATACTACACCTAAACCTAAACTATAGTTGTAGGAATTGTAAATATTAAGTTTTCAATTTTACGTGTTGGACTCTTTTGGAAAAAATATCGTGTAACCTCCATATCAGAAAACGTATAGAGCATTGATTCCCAAAGTGGTCTATATCGACCTCTAGGGATCTATGGCAACCTGCAAGGGGTCTACGTCAGCGAAAAAAAATTTGGGGGTCCATGAAATGAATATGGGGGTCCACGATAGTGGATCTCAACACATACACTGATAGTACCTATTTACTTACATCATACTATCTTATAATATCAAAACATATACATTATTTATAAAAGTACCTATGAAGTAAAACATTTATTATATATGTTTATAAAATTGTGTAAGTTCTAGGATGTTCGTATTCACTTTATGGTCGCAATACATTTTGAACTTGTAAAAACCTGAGAGTCGCAGTCTCAGAGCTTCGCTACCTTGCAATTCGTCACTCTATAAATACGAATGTGGGACAAATACGTTTATTCGTCTCCTAAATCTTGAAAAGGAAAGTGCTAAGAAAATATTTTAAAAAATATATACAGATAGTATATCACACAAATTATAGTGACTCAGTGTTATTTTGTTTGAGAGTGCTGGAGAAAAGTAAGTACATTATTTTTTATTAAATTTTGGTTTTGTACTCGTAGTTAGCAAAGATAGATAAATTACGCCAATCATGACTTTAGTTTTTAGTAGTTAAATATTCAATCATGCAAAATTACACGAGTACTCCTCAATAGTTTCTTTTTGAAAGTTTTAGCAATCGGTAATATAATTACAGTGCAAACTCCGTAATTCGAGCTAATTGTTGCAAGAAGATGTTGATTAATTGAAATTTGGCTTCATTCCATCATTGCCGGACAAACAATCGCCTATGTGCCTTTTATGCAACAAAGTTTTGGGCAATGACGCTATGAAACCATCTAAACTGCAGGATCATCTGAGAAGATGCCACCCTGATAAAACAGAGAAAGATTTGAAATACTTTCAAACACTCAAAGGTCAATTTTAGAAGAGACCTACACTGGACAGAATGTTCGCTTCCACGTCACAAAGAAATGATGATGGTTTGCGGGCGTCTAACAATATCTCGTTACTTATAGCAAAATCCGGAAAACCGCATACTATCGGAGAGAAGTTAATTTTGCCAGCCGTTGAAGAGGTTTTAAAAACTGTTTTACACAAACCTGCATCTGATAGCATTAAAAGAATTCCCTTAAGCAACAATACTGTTGAAAGACGTATTGATGAAATGAGTTCTGATATTGAAAGCTTCTTATGTAATTATTTGCAAACTACCCAGTTCTCTATACAACTGGACGAGTCAACTTTACCTGATAATGCAGCATTATTATTGGCATATGTTCGTTTTATTATGAATCAAGAAATCTTCGCAAGAACTTTGATAACCGATACTAAAGGTGAATCAATGTTTCATGTTTTGAAGGATTACTTCATTGAAAAAGCAATTCCTTTATCAAATATAACATCAGTAGCTACAGATGGAGCACCTGCCATGGTTGGACGTTATCGTGGATTTATAACCTATTTAAAACAAAATGTGTCAGGGGTGTTAGCAATACATTGCCTTATCCATCGACAACATTTAGTTGCTAAAAATTTGAGTGTTAGATTGCATGAATCACTTCATTTAGTTATTGATGCAGTAAACCGAATCCGAAGCAGCGCGTTGTATACGCGGTTATTTGCGCAGTTGTGTGAGGGAAATGACGAACACTTTCATCAATTACTCCTTCACACTGAAGTACGCTGGCTGTCGAAAGGCTTATGTTTGACAAGATTGTTTGCACTTTTGAGACTATTTTAGAATTCCTGGATACTAAAGATAAAATTTTAAAAGAAAATTTAATGAAGAGGAAAACAGACATCGCCTATTTAACAGATTTGTTTACAAAATTTAATATGGTTAATTTGCAATTACAAGGCGGCAGTTTAAATTTGATTAAAGCAGAGTAGGGGAGAATTTTCTCAGTTCCCCAATTTGTCACAGACAAGCTGCCAGGAAGACGACGTTTCAACTTACGTTCAACGTTTAAATGCCTTCTGTTTAGATTTTGAATCTAGGTTTGAGGATATTTTGACTATGGTAATACCACCGTGGATAATTAATCCATACGAATGTCATACATACAAGAGGAACTGACTGAACTAAGTACAAACGAAGAACTTAAGGTTCAGTTTAAAAACAGATATCAGCAATTCTGGCTGCAAAACAACATACCCGTTACTTATCCCGTTTTATGGAATATAGCGAGGACATTTTTAATTTCCTTTCCATCGTCATACCTAGTGGAAAGGGGTTCAGCGCTGTTACCAATCTCCTAACGAAAAAAAGAAACAGACTGGACATCATTAGCCGAGGAGATTTAAGATTAACCCTTACAAGATTGACGCCAAATGTTGATAATTTATTATTAAAGCATCAGGTTCATCCTTCTCACTAAACATATTGACTTATTGCTTATGTTATTCTATTTATAGTTTATTTTATGTTTACTGGTGTCTGACCCATAAATGCCCGCATTGGGAATAAATACCCGCATTGATTTTTTTAGAAGAAAATATATTTTTTTTTTCCAAATTATTCTGAAAATTCAAGGATGCCTATTTTTAGATAACTTAAACGTATAAGAAGCGGAATTTGATCATACTAACAGTGAAATTATTGTAGAACATACGTTTTTGTTATAATTAATAAACGAACTCGCTTATTGTACCATTTTAAGTATAAAACTTTTTTTTATTATTTTTCACTTTTTTTTTATTTAATCCCTCTTATTTTTTGTTTCAACGCGGGCACTTATTCCCAATGCGGGCACTTATCAGACACCTGTTTATTCAATGTTACGTATATTTTACATAACAGATACAAAATTTTATTTTGAGTAGTTTTAATTTAAGTTCAATTAATAAATGTATAAATTAACATGTGTTTTTACTTTAAGCTTTTAACACTTAACTTCACTACAGTTAGAAATTTACAGGAAATCAATATCAGGTAAGTAGGAGGTCTACCCAACACGGAAAAACATGGCAAAGGGTCTACGACACAAAAAAGTTTGGGGAACTATGGTATAGAGGGAGCTTTCCGTCTCAGATCAGAACTCTTTTGAAGCATACATACTAGTTCCCAGTATTCCCACAAGTGCTTAGAGATTACTTTAGACGCTAAAAAGTCACATTAAAAAAAGTAAAGCTACTCAGTCACTGATTTTTTGTGAAACATTGAAACAGCATTTGTAAAAAAATCAGGTTCTTTAAACTTTTAAACAAGGGTAGTCAATGATCAGACGATGCATTAATTCGTAGAAATAAAAAAATAAACCTATTTGTTGTAGGCTAACGACATTTGCGTTTTCAGAAACCGCTATCTATCACACTGGAAAATCAAAGACATTCAAATAGAAGCAAGCTCCTAATGTAGCTTCAACATTGCAAGTGAAAAGCATTTGAAACGCTATGGAAGTTTTCCAGTCACGTACTCAAACTTGGAGCTATTTAATTACAAGGGAAGATTAAGCAAATTTTAACTTTACCGTAAATAAAAGGAACTCCTTGAATCACGATTACTACTAATTATCCTGGAGCTGGAGCAAGGATAATGGCCGCACTGCAATTAAAACGCGATAAAGGGCAGAAAGTATGGTTTTGATTGCTTTTTGATTCGCCCTGTGCTCCCGAAATCCGAGTATATCGGTATTTGATGACATAATGTCGCAGGGATGGCAACCCCAGAATATATTTATTCACATAACAGTTTGCTTTGGCAACACCAGCAGGCAGAGTTTTCTGAATTCCGTGTTCTCCGGGGCTCCCCTATGGAGATATAGGCTCATAGCGGTGGATTTGACCAAGACACTCAAATCAACAAGCCGTTGTTTTCCACCAACAGGCACTTTCGACAAATTTTAGCAACCAATAGCTGTGAAATGTTGAAAACAACATATTGTCAAAGTATGAGATGACAGCTTTGAAACATCACCATTCTATTGAATATTAAGAAATTACAAATATTTTAGTCAGATTTTCTAAAAATGTTTGATTTTTAAATAAAATTCATGTTTCTTTTACTATTGTTGATTGCTTATTCATCTTGATCTTATTTTCGGCAATTGATATGCGATTTTACTGATTTGACATCACCTACCGTGTGTTTCTCCCTATAAACCTCTTGCAGGTAGCGATGAAACTCCTACTTGATGACAAAGACTTTTTACAAAAATTTCAGAGATGCTGCTCCTTTCCAGATATTTATTCATTTACTTGCCGTTCATCAGTAACATTATTGCACCTTAAACTGATATTCGTACAAAACTATTCAGGATTTTTTATACGGGTGTATTAACCCACAAAGCTGAATTGTTTCGTTATTCAGGCAGTAAACAAATATCCACACTAGATTTACAGCGATTGAGAAATACCCAAATGTACGTTGTAAAGCTGCCAGCAAACCTAAAACCTGCAAAAAGCTAGAATCTGCAATAATTTTATATAACGGGTGTTTTTTTTTCGAGGTATAGAACTTTAAGTTGGCACTACTTTTGAAGATGGCGACCGATTTGACAGCTGTCAAGTGGTTTATTCTAAGTTTGGTTTGGCAATTCATCATGAGTAGGCTCACGCCTGAACACAGCTTGCAAATTGTGCAGTTTTATTTTGTAGAATAATGGTTCTGTGCGGAATACGTATCGCGCACTACGTCCATTTTTTCGTCGACAAAATCGTCCATCAGAGCAGTTAATTCGATTAACCATGGAACGTTTTCGTACCACGTTTACTGTAATTGATAACTCGCACCCCAGAGATGCCGTGCGGTGCGTACAGAAGAAGCGATTGATACTGTAGAGCGTAGCATGGAGGAAGACCCGAATGAGTCCATCCGCCATCGAGCACAGGAATTGGATCTGTGTCCATCCACTTTATGGAAGATTTTGCGGAAGGATCATGGTTTGCGTGCTTACAAAATCCTAATCGTGCAAGAATTGAAGCCAAACGATCGTTGAATGGGCCCAAAACGAGATTGCCGTTGTTCCCGATTTTCATAAGCGAATTTTGTTTAGCGATGAAGCGCACTTCTGGTTGAATGGCTTCGTCAACAAACAAAACTGCCGCATTTGGAGTGAAGCTAATCCTCAGGTCTATGTCGAAACACCGTTACATCCAGAAAAACTGACTGTTTGGCGCGTTTATGGGCTGGTGGAATCATTGGCCCAAACTTCTTCAAAAATGATGATGGCCAGAACGTTACAGTCAATGGTGATTGGTATAGAGCCATGACTACTAACTTTTTCATTCCTGAATTGAACAATCATGATGTCCAGGAGCTGTGGTTCCAACAAGACGACGCAACATGTCACACAGCACGTGCTACAATCGATTTATTGAAAGACACGTTTGGTGACCGCCTAATTTCACGTTTTGGACCTGTTAATTGGCCTCCAAGATCTTGTGATTTAATACCGCTAGACTATTTTCTGTGGGGCTATGTAAAGTCATTGGTCTATGCGGATAAGCCACAAACGTTTGACCATTTGGAAGACAACATTCGCCATGTTATTGCCGATATATGGCCACAAATGTTGAAAAAAGTCATCGAAAATTGGACGTCCAGATTGGACTACATCCGAGCCAACCGTGGCAGTCATATAACAGAAATCATATTTAAAATGTAATGCCAGGAGATTATCCTTCGAATAAAAAAAAAATGCATGTCAATCGAATAATTCATCGTTCTTTTCTTGCAATTTAAAGTTCTATACCTCTAAAAAAACACCCTTTATAATACTCGTATATATAATTATTTGAATTGAAACAATAAACTAGGGATGGGCAAACATGACCGGTTAACTGAATAATCCGTTTTTCAATTCGATTAGCCGGCTTAGTCCCAGTGGAACAAACCCGGTCAACTGTTGAAATATAGTCTTATATGTTTTATAAGACTTTCCGTAGAGGATTTTTTTCCGAAATCGTTGCAAAACACTTGAAAAAATTTGAATGAAAATTTCTAAATTAACGCCATGACGTCCCAAATGGTTCCGTCGATACCCCGGGCTAGACATAGATCTTGATAGCTGCCGTTCTTCCTCTACTATTTTACACTTTGTTAAGATCTTATAAAAAATAGAAGCTACAAATGAGATATTGACGTATATGAATGGATATAAATAGAATTTTTTAGGCGTAATGATGCTTGCAAAATAGTTAAGGTTGATATCAATAATTATTCAGACTGTAAGAGCAAGTATAAAAAAAACGACTGCGTGTTCTTATTTTAAGCAATTTTTTTTCTATAAATTGTTATCACTTTTTATATCCCTTACATCTCATGTCCACAATTTGTACATAAACACAAAACAGAATAAAAATTTAAATTGCAAGTTTCAGGTTTTCTATGCAAACGTCATTTTCACGATATTTCAAAATAATTCGGATATTTCCAGAATTTTGCCGGAAAAGGGCTGGAACGAAAAATAAAGCTGAAAGTGAGTCTTATCT